TCAAAGTCATTCCGTAAAAATTCAAAAAATATCCACTGGAGTTGGTTTTCAAGATTTGAAGACGTTTCGCCACCTCTCCAGGAAGCTTTCTCAATTCAAATGTGAATTCACATTTGAATTGAGAAAGAGATATTGATATTGAATTGAGATATTTTTTGAATTTTTACGCAATTTCCATTTCATTGGTTTAAAGGACCACTGAGGCAATGTAAACAGCACTGTTATTTTAAGTTTTATAAATCCTAAGCACTTTTTGTCAGTGTGTCCACTCCAGTAATAGTAATATTTGTGTCTAGTATTTGTTTTCATGGCAGTACCTTCGATAGTTGTTTCAATAAATACAGCTATGTATGACTTAAGTTGCTTTCAGTTATGTATCAATTTAAGACACTATCCAGATCAAACCCAGCCAGTCAGCCACTGGTAATAACTGTATTTTTTTCTCACAGTGTTCAGTGAAAATATAGCGATGCATCGCAATATTTCACATATCGTGATGCATCGTGATAAAATCGCATTGTGGCATGTGAATCTTGACTGGAATCGAATCGTGACTTCTTTGGCAATACCCACCTCTAGGTTTTATAAACATATATTTTTTTTTAAGTCTTGTAAAAACTGAAGAAATGAAGCATTTTGGTTCAAATTTGACCATTACAGATTTTAAAGGTGCTGCCCATTATTTAGAAATCAGTTTAACAGATTCCCAACATGTGCTGCCGATTTTTCTGGGGACGATATTGCTCTCTTTTCATCCATTTATGTGATAAAATGACACAATGATAAATGTTACACGTCTCGATTTACCGAACCATTGAAAACATTAACAGTGGATAGCAAATAGAAGGAGTAGTAAAACATACAGCTAATACAATCCAGACATTGCTGCTGATTGCAATAATGAATTTGCGAATCATGCATGCATGCATGCGTCAGCCGGTACTAATGTAAGAAAAAAAAAACATAAATAAAGGCCAAAAATATCAGCCGACCAATATATCAGTCTATCTCTTATGGTTAGAGTCTCTAGTTAAAGCTTGGTTCAGTACGTTTCTAACAAATTGAAGGAATCATCACCCAAAAATCTGACTTTTTCATGTTATATGGTCTGGGTTGGTGTTTGGCTTCAGTTTAAACATGCTGGACAATAACGGGTGTGAAAGTAGCTATTTGTTTTTTGTTATGTATTTTCTTTTAATGTGGGCCCTGTATTTAAAGGGGTCATAGAATGCAAAACCGAGTTTCCATTGTCATAGATAACGATAGTTCAGTGGGTGAAATGGAAGTACAGAGAAGTTCAAACCTCATCAACACCTCCTTTCTCTGCAAATCTCACAATTCTAAACTTCCACCATAAAATGGGCAAATTCAAACGAAGCCCGGAATTGACGTCAATTCGTGGATACAATTGCACTGTAGTTTATCAAAATCCCGGTTGATTTTGAAATTCCCCCCGGACATTTTTTTAGGTATGAAAAGTAGGACATGTCCGGGAAAAATAGGACGTCTGGTCAACCTACCATATCAACAATTTGATGTTTCAGTGAGTGAGTGCTTGTTGCTATGATGCGACATTGCTCAACAGCTTTGCTCGTTGTAAACCAACCAATCAGAGCACAGCTCATCTAGATATTCATGAGCATTCCATAAAGAGAAGAAAAACCTGTCGTTTCATTCTAGGGCTTTTAACCAGGCTTGCATTAGGGCTCATAGAACAGCAAATATGCCATTTTCAACCCAACCAATGTTACACACCCTATTCAGAGACCTTAAGGACCAGCACCAAATACCCTATAGAATCATTCTATTACCCCTTTAAACGAGAAAAGCCCAAAAGAGAATAGTGTCCACAAAGCACCATTTGATCCTCCTTCTTAATTTACGTTGTTCATGAGAGAGCACTAAAATCAGCCCAGTTTGCATTCAACAATCCTCTCTCTTTTCCACCAAAAGGGGAGATTCCAGCTGTCAGTGACTCAGCTGCAGTCAGGAAGTGTTGCTGCTGCTGAAACTTTTTTGTCTTCTGTTTGGTTCCCAACCTTTTTGGACCTATGTACCCCTTTGGGCATTTTTTTTGTGCCATGTGTCCCCCCTCAATCAACAGTATAGATGACAGCCCAAAAGTGGAATGCAGAATAACTAATTATAAAATAAAAAAGTATTTTATGTGATCTTTTTAACTTGAGCATTTAATTCTTTAGCATTTTATTCTTTCCAACTGATATAAAAAACCAACATAAATATCTTGCCCAGAAGCTATTACAAAATAAAATCATACTATAAATCTACCTTCATAAAACTGGAGCTACTTTGAGTAATTCATATATACTCGCATATAAAACTGAAGAATTTGGAACAAAATACTGGACAAAAAAATAGTCAGACAGACTCCATTTTCTTTTCTTTTTATTTTGTTTTACTTTGTTTCCATCAATCATGACTCCTTAGTTTGCTTTGAGCAGGCGTCAAGAAACAGCTGTTCTCTACTTCCAGTCTGTTCTTCTGCTTGATTTTGATTGTGTCAAAGCTGAAGTGGAATTCAGCCATATTAGAATAATATAATTTTTGGTTGAAAAAAGAATATCTTTATTTAATTTTTCAATTGGGTCCTAACGAAGTAGAACAGATCCCAGCCAAATTTTGTTTTATTGCGTTAGAAAAAATGTTTTATGTATCCCTTGCAATGCACTCGCAGACCACTAGGGGTACGAGTACCCCCGGTTGGGAATCATAGGTCTAAGACCCTGGGAAGCGATGATAAACAACCCATGGTACACTGCTAAGGCTGCTATTCCTACTTCCACATGATGTACATACACAAAAATCAAGTTCCTGTGAATACCCTCGCTAGAATAAAACCGGTCCGATGGAGCTCCATTTCACTTCCTTTCCCCTAAAAAAGATTAAACGTGACTTTAAAGACAATTTCTGAAGGATTTTAGGTTTTAGGTGGACTGGATGATTGGTTCCCGACATCCGGTGAAGATTTTTATTTTATCAACTGCATGTTTAGAGATATATTTAGTTAGAAAACTGTTTGAATGTTTATTTTTACCAACTCTCTTTACTAAACTGGAAAAGTGAGCTTTTGGGTTTGTGAAGTTAGGAAGCTGAGGCAGAGGCATTTCTTGCAAGAAAAAAGGTTCAAATTTATTTAACGCTTTCAGACGGAGAGATATAGCTCTGACTGGGCAAAGCTCAGTACACACATTTATATCTTACCAAAATCCCAACCAACACACTCCCCCCAGGGGAACCAACCCACCCCCTGCATAAAGAACTTTCTCACACTTGAACATTTGGAGTAAAAACAAAAGGCCGTTCGCTGTTAGGTTAATATATCTTTCACTGGCCAGATGGATCTTCTCAAAACAACAGTTCTCCCCTTCATGCCATGAAGGAGGCTGTCTAACTCATTCTTATCTCTCATAACCTTCGTTTGGAGCCTGTGAGGCTAAGAACAGACATACCTCAATATTTTTTACTCCACAGTTTAAATTAGTTTTTTTTGTTTTTCTCATAAACCATTCCATCTCTACAAAACACTAACAAACAGCCAATCTGCTCAAGGAAATTCTAACCCAAAGCATTTCTGACTTAAAGCAGAAACCTGAATCAAAGTGTTTTCTATTTGATTAAAAATCTCCAGATTTCTCCACTTCTTCCTGCCTCTGGAGTATTGGATTAAACAGTCAGGCTGAGTATGTTGAGTTTAGCTCCAACTGTGCAGGTTGTTAGTTTTTTCCTCCTCCAGTTAGACAGAAAGTCATTAACATGTGAATTTACCTGACATCAGTCTCTGTCTCTCTTTTTATCCTGATAAAAAGGGTATGGTAGAGATCTTATTTGGAAGGTTTTAAGGGCATAAATCCCTTTTGGGAGAAATGGTGAGATCTAGCTCTTGCAGCCTCAAACATCAATGCACCTCCCACTGTTGCTGCCTCCTCACACACAGACCTTGATCTTTAAATTCGGTCACCACACAGCTCCTGTTGGGCCACTTAATAATACACTGCCATGCCTGCAAAATTAATATCTCCCGGTGAATTTTGTCCTACTTTTCCTTCATTTTTCTTATTGTTTTCTTATTGTCAAGCTTTTTTTATGCTCTTATTTTCACCACCAACAGCTTCAGGTGTGATGGAGTTTATGTTTTTGCATCTTTAGAGGGAAATACTTTCTTTGTCCCAAATAAAATGTAAGAGAAAAAAAACGAAAATAACCTGAGTTTGATTTGTTTATGAATGAATAAAGATTGAGCCCAAGTCTCAAATTCAGGAAGGAAGCTGTAGAAAGCTACTCTGAGCTTTTTAGAGAAGGATTTCTAAGCATAGGCTGTGTTTTCTTATCATATGTTTGGAATTAGCAATGGATAGCTCAGCAGTTCTAGTATCCAGTATGAAGTTTACAGAGGAGGAGGGTGCAGCATTTAACAAATATTTAATCTAGCAGTGCTAACTCAGCAATCTGCAGAGAAGGATGTTAAGCAAAACATGTCTGCCACTCCTTGTTTCACCCTACTGAGTGTGAATAGAGGATCATTTTTAAGCCTGACTGGAATGAAACCGACAGAGTTATTTCTGTCGCTTAATAAATTGATATATTTGTTGTGTTAACCGGCCTATAAATTGCTGCTTAACAGACAGGCTTCCTGTTTCTCACAAACTGTCATTTTAAACCATTTTTCCTGATCATCCTTTTTTAAATTTTGTCGTACTTTTGGGCCCTGAAGGAATATAAGGGCGTTTTTTTTTTTTTTTGGTTTTTTTGCAGCCATCGTACCAGCAGTGTGCAGCAGTAAATGGAGGTGTAGCAACATCGATGTGTATAAAAGGTTATGAAAGGAAAATGCAACTTTTTTCAAGCCTTAATGTTCCTGTAACCTGGGTAATATAAAAAAAAAAAACTGATTATAAGCAAGGGTAGCTGAATTAGCTTTTGTCTGGAGCTTATTACCTGTTTTTTTCATTAACAATTGAAAAAAAAAACAATATTTCATAATCCCTCAACCAGCATTAAACTTTTACATTATTTACTCTAAGTTTAGCTTAAAAACAGTACGGAATGGACTCATTATCCGGAAGCATCAAAAAGAATGAAGGAGGAACCCTGATAAGTAGTTCTGTTTGGGTCTTACGCCTCACTGGTATCAGCAAACCATGTCTCACACTAGATTGGTGTCTATCTCATGGGGTGTGTCATTATTTGGTGTCCAGCCCTACTTTTCTAAGTGCACACGCTTTTCAATGCCATACTGCACACGTTTTCCCCCTTTTATACAACCTTGCCCTTAAAGGTATAGTGGAGGATGCTCTTTTTCCAGGTGGAGCATCTAAATAAGTGGTCCTCCTAACTGTCAATCGTTCTGGTGCTATGTTTACGTAAGGCCGTCCTACACGGCGGTGAGTCTGACATAAAAGAAAAAATTGCAAATCTTTTGGAAAGTAAGCTTGTGTGAGTGATGCAAACAGCAACTTTTAAACAGAACGTATACGAGGAGAAATGTTCTCCTGCAAGCTCTTTTACTTGTTTAACAGGTGTTCCCACTCAGGAACGGTTATAGGGTTGTGCATGTGCATTTTTCTTTTCTTTTTTAAAGCGTAGAGGGAGGGTCTTTTCCAAAATTGATGAAAATCCTCCACTATACCTTTTAGAAGATTAACAGTATTACTATTATTTATTTAGGCGGCCCTGTATTTCCTCGATGACACACAATAAAACATTAGTTTTATCCTGATAAAATGGACCTCTGCTTCAGCCAATCTGACTGCTTATGGGGTATTAGGCAGAATATTAGTATTTATATGTTTTACAATGGGTTGGCAAAAATATAAATTGAGAATTATATAGATTTTATTTAACCTCTGTATTTTAGGTTATAACAAATCAATTAAAAAGTAAAGTTTATTAAGCACAGGATCAAGATGGCAAACAAAATGAATTTATATAGCGCCCTTCTGGTCATATTGACCCATTAAAGCCCTTTATGTGTACCTCTGTGACGTCCACAAGCATCCATATATTCATAAACCGATGGGCAGATGTGTAGGAATTATGTGTCTAGGGGGTAAGAGCCTTGCCTGGCGATGAGATGTGGCAGGAAGAAGCAGCCAATGAATGGAGAAAAGAATAATGCAGCATAAATCTTCCATGCTTTGTCTCCCCAATGGATGAAGACTGGCCTGAATAAACGGTGCAGCCTCTAAAATGACAGCTTTCACATAATAATTCTATGAATTTTTCTGTTTTAATTCACTAACCCTGCTTTTTTCCCCCAAATGTGACAATCAACCTTGCTTGTTAAATAACTTAAAATGTTCTCCCATTGATGAAAACCATTGTGATTATTCGCTTTTTAAAGTTTCTTTCTCTCTCCTTTCTTATCAGGTTTGCTGTGGCTTTCACTGAAAAGCTGAAAGAAGAGGCAGAATTTGTTTTGGTATAAACAACCACTTTTTTCCTCATATTTTTCAGTAAAAAAAAACTGCTGTTTTTCTCAAGGGATAAAAGTGCAGTCATTAATTACAGTCTGTTTTAAATGTCTTTTTTTTCCTCCATCAGCCCAAACTGTCCAACCGCTTCAGGAATAGATCAGATATAGCAAAGCCTCTAAAGCGGATAACTAGTGAGATGTTACATGCATGCAAAACAAATCAATTATCATAAATAAATAGAGGTGCCTTGTTCGATATTATTATCAGATATTGGCCAAAAACTAATATCGGGTTATATCAGCCTGCAGTGGCTTGCAGCAAGAAGGTTCTGGGTTCGATTCCCGGCCCAGGGTCTTTCTGCATGGAGTTTGCATGTTCTCCCTGAGCGTGCGTAGGTTCTCTCCAGGTACTCCGGCTTCCTCACACAGTCCAAAAACATGACCGTTAGGTTAATTGGCTTCTCTAGATTCTCCTTAGGTGTGAGTGTGTGTGTGAATGGTTGTATGTCCCGTTTGTCTCTGTGTTGCCCTGCGATGGACTAACCCTGTCCAGGGTGTACCCCGCCTCTCGCCCATAGACAGCTGGAGATGGGCACCAGCACCCCTCGTGACCCCAATTGGGACAAGCGTGTTAGAAGATGGATGGATGGATGGATGGATGGATGGATGGATGGATGGATGGATGGATGGATGGATGGATCAATCAGCCTGCATCTAAAATTTTCGACATTGTCTTTGACTAGTATTACATGAGTTGGTTGTACTCATACATATTGCTGACAGGCTTTAGACAAACCTTGTCAGCTTGTATACACATAGTGTATACAAAATAAAATTTTGTACTGATCCCCATTTTCACCATCTCTGACCGTTTATTTTTTTGTATGTAACTTCCTTGAGAACAAAAAGACATTTCATAATGACCATGTGTCAATTTTCAACAGTTTTGGGAACTGATGATTTTAAGAAATTTTGTAATCGATACAGAGTCAATGCTAATGAAATGGGATTCTATGAATAATTATTATCTACAAGCAAGAAATCATTTAATTTAAATATTGTGGTTATTAAATTTAATTATATTATGTTAGTTCAATTCAAGTAAATAATGTTCACTTATGTTCTTTATCAGAAATTATTAATGTAATATATGAATTATATCATGTTATATTAAAATATTAAAGATAAAATATGAAAATTTAATGTACTTTAGCATTTTTGTGACAATTTTTCATAACCTATTAAAAGTAATTAACCCCTATGATAATAGATTAGGTCTGCATGGTTAAGTGCTTGGGAATGTAACAGTTTTGTTTATAGTAAAATATTTCAGGCAGACTTGATAAGATAGCAGTGTGTACGTCAGAAATGGAAACTCTGATAACCTGATCTAATTGATTTGTGTCTATATTTGTGTGAATCATTGCCAATTTCCTTTGGATTGTGGAGCTTTTATCGCAGACATTTGATCTGTGTTTGTTTTTTCAGAAAAGGAAAAAAAAACATGAAATTTGGATGTATACAGCTTTTTAACAGTGAATTAGCAGCTTATAGCAGTGAAATGAACATTACCATTTATAAAGTGCAGCAGTGATCAGAATGTAGTGTAGGAGAAAAAGAAAATCAGTTTAAAGTCATGGTGCAAAGGGCATTGATATGAAAAGGTTCAGTTCAGTGCAAAATAAATAAATATGGTGCAAAGAGCAGTAGAACATTTAGCTGTGTTCTATTTAAAGGGATTATGAAAAAAAAACAACCCGTAAGAAGGCAAAAAAGAATTTTTTGTGTGTGTGGTTAACGGTTTAAGAGTATCCCCTTAACAAACCCTTTCCAAAAATTTACAAGAAAAAAAAAAGGAAAAAAACCAAGAATCCGGCCCAAAAGCCTTTGGGCAAAGGTCGAAACAAGCCAATTTAAAAACTGCAAAAACAAGAACAAAACCAAAAATGAAAAGATTTTATCAGGACATCCCTAATTATAAAGAAAGATTAAAAAATGCACCATATTAGGGTTGTAGATATACTTTACATTACATGCATTTCCTGATAAGCAACGATATTTTTTAACATAATGTCTCTAACAACTTTTGCAAACAAAAGACGTAAATGAATGACTTTATTGTTATGTTTATTTGTTCTTAAAGTGTAAGAGTTTGATACATTTTTAGATAAATGACTGATTGCTTGATTTAAAAAAAAACTATTTGTACTGAAGATGGTTAGAAATAATAGAATTACAGCAGCAGGAATAACTTCTCAACAGGTTTATCTAACTTCTAGCTCCTTAATCAGTCGATCACATCCATCCTACATCTATTCTTTATTCTCCTAATGAAGTATGTTTTCCCACTCTGTGCCTAAAAGGGGGTTTATCCTTATGGACTGATTACCCTGCATGGATCAGTCAATATTGTCATTATAACGCATGTTTTAATTTACACAAAATGCCAATTCTTTCCAGAGTCAGGTTTTAGTCCTTATCAGATTGCTGTAATGAGATTTTGGTTAGGAAAACAAAAGGCTTTTATGTTTACATTATAAAGCAGAAAGTCTGTCAGTGTGACAACAGCTTTCATTATACCAACAACAACATTGGGCCCTGTTTCACTATGATCTGGTATTAAAACAACATTACAGTGTTTTATTTTCAGATGAGATTGCAGCCACAGGCGGCGGATTGAAGCCTGTGGCATCCTTTATCTCTCCTATTTAAGTGGTGACAGCAGGAAGACAAGGCGGGCTCTGAGAGGCATTTCTCTTTATTTTTTTTAACTGACACAACATATACATCGTTGATGGATCTGGTATGATAACATCCAGACAATTTCCTTTTCATCTCCTTGATTTATTTTGCAATATAACTATTATCTTATCAATTGGATCCATGACTCCCCTTTTAAAGTTTTTGTTTTGTTTAAATATGTTTTGAGCATAGAGGACATAAAATGTCTGGTTCTGTAGTTTGACACAAAATAAGAGCAGCACAGACAGTCACAATATCAGAGGATTTGTATAAACAAACGTTGCAGATAATTGATGATTGATCTTTTTCTAACTCTCTTGTTTTAACTTTTTTTTCTCCTACTCAAGGTGTCGCCCAGCAGTAAAATCTATGTTCAGCCCCAAGGTAAGTCATAATGCTGCTTCACTGATAATCAGGCGGTGAACCATTGCGTAATTCTGTGTTGCTTAATTTGTCTAAAATACATTTTTGGTTTGGATTTTATGCAACTTTATGCAGCCTGACACCTTTTCTTTCCTGCTTGATTTAAAGGTATTCAGACAGAAGTGGCTGAAGACTTCTGCTGGACTGAATTCTTGAGGAGCTCAGGTACTAGATTGTTTTCATCTTTATGGTTGCCTAGTAGCTCCTCATATTTTCCACATTTCCACTCCAACTCCTTCCCCATTGATGCTCCATCCTAACTGCAGTGTAGCCCTCAACTTTTAAAAGTCATTAATAATTTATTATCTTGTTCTTGAGGTGGTTTTTACTCCACTAGGCCACCAGTGCTTTGACCATTTGCCTGCTTGGCCCTTCTTCATCATCATTCATAACTTTTACGATAGTGGGCTCAGTATACAGCCCTGTGGGACACCAGTATTGAGTGTAAAAGTGGGATGTGGAGTTGCAAAATTTAAAAGTTGCTTAATAAAAATACCCCATTTTCAAAATGTAAAATAGAACTGAGATTATTGTAAATTAATCACAATGACTAGGGGGGAGTGGCGGCGTAATAGTTAGGGCATATAGCTTGGAATCTGGAGGTTCTGAGTTGAAGTCCCACTCTGACAGACTGCCACTCTGAGTCCCTGGGTCCCTATTTGCTCCCGGGGTGCCGAACGATTGCAGCCAACTGCTCCCCAAGGGGATGGGTTAAATGCAGAGGTAAATTTCCCCAATGTGAGATCAATGAAGTTAAATTATTATTTTTAGAAATATTAGAAATTTCAGAAATCACATTCTCTTAAGTATTCACAGCCTTTACTACAAAGCTCATTGAGAAGTGGCCTGGAGCGTTTTTTACTGATCATCCCGGATTTGTTTCTACAGCTTAAATGGATGTAGCCTGTAGTAACTTCAATTGATCTGGAAATGACTAGGAAAGCTACTCGTCTGTTTGCATACAGTCCCACAGGTGTCAGTGCATTTCAGAGCACTAAACAGGAAGTCAAAGGAATTTTCTTTCGAGCTGTAAGACAGGGTTGTCTTAAGCCACAAATATGTAAAAGGATGCAGAAACATCTCTGCTTCTTTCAAAGTCCTATTGAGCACAGTGGCCTTCATCATTGGAAAATAGAGGAAGATTTGAACCAGCATGGTTCTTTCTAGAGCTGGTTTAGACGTGTTAACACTGATTGGAGGAGAAGGGCATTAATCCAATATGTGACCAAGAACCCCACACTCACTCCTTCTGAGCTCCAGTATTCGTTTGTACAGAGAGGAAGACCTTCCAGAAGGACCACCATTTCTGCAGTAATGCAATAATTACAGTAGACTTATTTGGTAAAGTGGCCAGATTAAAGCCACTCATCAGCATCCTTAAGGAATCTCACACCATGGAACCAGAAATCTGATTAGATAAAGATGGATGGCCAGCTTTTTTTTTTTTCTTTTTTCAATGTGTTTATTTTTTCCCCCAGCGTTTTATTGTCATTACACTGTCACAAGTGCAGAGCAACAAAATCACCCAGTGGTGCGGGGTTGAGGGTCTTACTCAGGGACCCAGGCAGTCTGTGGGAGTTGGGTTTGAACTCAGGAATCCAAGCTCAACAACTTGAAATAGCCAGCCGTTATCATGTGTAGGGAGAGCCCACAACCAGGCCAAAACCATTCCTATAGTGAACCACGATGGTGATATCATCATGTTATGTGGTTTTATTTGTCAGCAGCATGGACCACAAAAACTGTTGTTTAGAGGGAAAGATGAATGCAGCAATGGACAGATATCCTGGATTAAAAAATAGTGTTCCACCGATACTGATAACAGTATTGGGCGGGCCCCTATCCAGCACTGAAATGGTGGTATCGGTATTGGCGAGTTCCAACAAATAGGGCACCGATACCAATGTGAGAACCAAAAGTTTATTCAACTATTGTCACCCATTCCAGGTAGGCAATAAAAAATTCTACTGGATTCACTTTGTATTAGTCTTCTTCCTGCTTCACAAAGGTAGGCAGCAGCTTGACAAAGCCGTGATGGCAATTATTCTACATCCAAGTAGTATGCAGTTCTTCATATATACACACAGACACATCAATTTCAAACAGATGGTATCGGTATCTGCCAATATTGCAAAGCCTGGTATTGGGGCCAATAAATGACCCAAAATGCACAGCCAAAAATGCCCATAGATAGTGGTGCTAAGCTTCAGGTATTGCATTGAAAATGAAAAGCTATTATTTTTTTCCCCCTTTCTTTAAGGTTTGTAATTTTTTGTTTGTTTTTTACCCGTTTTCAAGGGACCCAAACGTCTCCAAATTGACAAAATGGGCTATTGTCTGCTAGCCTTGTGAGACCATCCTGATCTCACGAGCTTTCAAGGTTTCACTCGCAAATCAGTCTGGAGACTCTCCGTTAAAGAAAATTTGGAGCCGTTCACCAAACGAACGTCCAATCAGCGTTGGCTTTGAGGCGGGTTGAGGTGTGACGCAACGAGAAGCGCGACAGTTCAGTCTAAAGAACATGGCGGCTTCAGCCGATGAAACTAGTGTTAGCGTGGCTATCGAGCAAGTTGTATCAGAATTACAGAGTATTTCTTCACTGAAAGAAGAGCAAAACACTGCTCTGGAGGCTTTTCTCAGAGGAAAAGATGTTTTTGCTCTTCTCCCGACTGGTTTCGGCAAGAGTAGCCTGGCTTGTGGTTGTGTTTTCGTCGTCGCTCTGTTAGTACGTCATATGCTTCGTTGATCTGATTGGTTTATTTGGCCCGTCTATCACCAACATAGGCCAATCAGCTAACCAGTATTTTCGCCCCTTCCCAAAATAACTTCAACGGAAGGTTTCCAGATGGATATGCGTAGCAAATCCATCTGGCGGAGTCAGGTTAATTGTCTGCAGAATTTTGATGAAATTGATTTAATACCATTTTGAATATGTCTGTAACGTGACTAAATGTGGGGGGAAAAGTGACACTCTGTAAATACTTAATGGATCCACTGCATGAGCAATACTGTAAATGCTTTGGAGTCATCACTTAGATGAACACCTTGTTGCTGCTTTGAATAGCTTCGCACATGCATACCTTCACTCTACAAGCATCTGGGAATTTAAATTGGACATTGCAAGATGATGCCCATCCCAAGTACATTAGTGCTCCCAGAAAACCCCTGTGAGTACAGAGAGGAACAGCTGATTTATAGCTCTCTAACCTCAGGATATTTATCACCAGGTTCCCCAGCAGCTGCAAGTAATACAAATTTTCCCACTTCTCACTTCTCCATTCGTTGTTCCTCAAACGGACAGCACTATTATTGTGTGGTTATATGAGTGTGCGCAAAAAATGTGTAATCTGAGTCAGTTATATTCCAAAACTGCCCGAGCATTGTTCTTCTGTTTAGACCAGAAAAAAAAAAAAACATATGACGCTTTTATTTTGTTGCTGTTTTGTTTTTATAGGTGGGAATTTATTCTAAACCTGTGAGAACTAATGCTTTGCTGTTTTGTTTTGACAACACAAGGTCTCCTTGTTGCAATCTGCTGAAGGCAACTCCCACAGTAGAAAACTTTGTGCTGAGACTTAATGCAAACACCATACTTTATTCTTTTAGAAAAGATTTTCCGAAGAATTATGCTTGAATGAGAGAAGTTCCTCTGTTTCTTTTATAATCCAAGTCATTATTTGTTCGTTATCTTGATTATTTTGTTGATGTTAACCTGCTTTGTATTGTCCGGTAATCAGAGTGAGGAACTTTTCCAGTTAAGAGTTTTTTAGGCAGAAAGCCATTTTGGGAAAAATCCCACATGCTTTCTTTTTCTGTCAGCTTTCATCCTCCCCTTGTCGTTCCACGCATTGGTGGCACAGCAGGGGGCACCATCCCATGTGTGCGTTTTCTCCACCCACAATGCAGCAGATTTTTCTATTGCTTGGACCGTTCCATCTGGCACCACATAAATTGATCATTTCTAAATTGCCAAATGTACAATGTGTTCTGTTTGAAGAGCATTGTGAAGGTAAGTAGAGATTTGGAATGGAAATGTGTTTTTAAGTGGGCCTCATTTCTGCAGTGGAACACTTTAGAAAGGCCACAGCTTGGGAAGATAAAAGATAAAGCAATGCTTCTAGCTGAATGAGAACACGCTAAGCTGCATGTGCTCTTCCACGAACGCATTGTGCTTTCCAGCGACAGACTTCAGCATCAAAACCCAGGAGCTTTAAGCCCATTTAAGCCACTCGATGAGTTTGAGACGGTGTCTGTTTGCTTTGTGAAGTGAGATTAGAGGGGAAGATCAGGTAGAGCACACAGGTGAGCAGTGGCATCATGAACTGTTAAGGAACTCCATCCTCTTAACATGTTAATGATTTTAGAGTTGGCTTGTAATTTTAAATAGCAGCAGTGTTGCTGGTGTAATGACGAGTAAAATATGTGCATAGAGAAGCTGTGATACCAAGATGGTCTGTTTATCATGAAAAAGTAAAGTTCCATAGACTTCACGTTACTTTTATTTATTTTCAGACAGGTTTCGATTAACATGCATTCATAGATTTATTTGTTTTACTTCACTGTAGGCTATATCACAGTACATCTTGCTGGACCATCAGTGTTATTTCATTATTTTGTATTATTAGTAGTGCAATAAATGTTGGCTGATAATATTTATTGGTCCATAGTTGGAATGTCTGCAGAATGCAGCCTTTCCCCTGAAGTTTCTCTCAAGTAGATGCTGACACACAGGTTACACTTCAGGATGCACACATGAGAAAGAGTTTCCCAGTTTCCCATGGTTTGGTTACCATTGTTTCCCGGCTCCTGAAATATAGGTAAAAAGTTACGCAAGCAGCAACACTTGCCAACTCCCTGCAGGTGAGTCCCTGATTGGTGGATTCGCCCCTTTTGGTGGAATAGAGACGGAAACGGTGTTAGCAAGCAAGCTAATTTTAGCTCCTTTCTAGGCAGAACTAGAGTTGATGGCCCCCCATACCATCCGCTGTGACATTTTAATACAGAATGTGTAAAATTTCTACTATATATTAACAGTAATCAACATTTGGCGGGCTGTGGCCTTAAGAGTAACCTGAGCAAAATAAATAAAATCAAAGAAGTGTCCTACCATGACTATGAAGCTGATCCTAGTGGGAAATTAGTCCCTAACCATGTAGGGGCAGTGATAGCCATGCCAGTTCAGGGACTGAGAGCAGTTCTTCTGTAAGGTGCATTGGTCAAGGTCAATGGCCGTCGTACCTGACATGGAACAACCATACCATGCATATTGCTTTAGGTTAGACTATATTAATTAGGCTATGTATAGTTTCAAAAAAATAATAAATTACCATCCCCCTTCCTTTTTTTTTTTTTTTTTAACAACTAGACTACTGCTTCTAGGATTGTCCTCGATACAGACAGACAACCAAAATTGTGCTTTGTAGAGAGCGCACTCGCTGGGCACTCTCTACAAAACCAAAGTTACTTTCCAGTATTGTTTTAACTGAAGCCCAACACCAACATGTTCTTACATGAAAAATGCAGATTCCCAGGTTATGAGTCATTTAATATTAGGGCTGCAAGTAATGATTATTTTACAAATCGATTAATCTGTTGATTATCTTTTCAATTAAATGTTTAATAATTGGATAGCAGAAGGTTTCTTAAAGAACATTGTTTACAAAATTAAACCAGTTTGGTTGTGGCCGTTTTCTCTGAAGCATCTTGCTAACGAGTTAGCAACTTAGTGCTAGTAGGTTCCCAGTGGGAAATTCCGTTGGGACCAAGTAGCACTAAATTGGTGACTTTGTGTCGGAGGTCATGGATGAGTCTCCTCCATCATACCGTTTTAATTTAGAGGGGAAAAGTGAGGATGAAGATGTTGTGGAAGAGGACGCCAGGGCGACAGAAGCTTGGTTTGGTGTAGAAGGCTTACAGCCGTACATGTTTGAGCCCTTGCCTCGCAACGCTGCCAGTTCTGTTAGCTCTACGCCTGCTGAAAGCACAGACGTCCATCCCCGTGAACACTGGGACGGAACTCAATGGGAAAGGAAATGATTCTTATTTCTTATTTGAACCATTGCGTATATTAGCTGCGACATATGAATCAAGATGTTATTACCGAAAGAAATTTGATTGACAGATGACCGCGGATATATGATTGGCTGAATTTAGGTGTACAAGCTGACGTAAAACTAACTGGTCTGCATAAGATAACGAAAAAAAAACAGATTTTAAGATGGGTTTTTTTTTTAGAGAAATTTTCTAAATTTTTGGCCGATATAGACTGATAAAGAGTACATTTATATACAGGTTTAAGCCAGAAGGCGATGACATCTAAATTTGATTTCCCTACGACTTTAAAGCCAAGTGTATCACATTTGACAGCTGAGCATCAGTGTGATGTTTTTGTTCTTGAAACACTGACTTACATAATCAGACACATGCAGTCAACAGAAAACATATAAAAGAGGAAATAGGAATGCGTAATGTATCAAAATTGATGCAAATAAATGAGGAAATTTAACATATACAAAATTTATTTTTTTATTTCATTTGTCTGGAAGGTTCGATGATGATTCTAATTTTGGAAAATTAGAATCTTCTGTCAATAATTTCGTGGTTCAGGCTTTAAAGGGTTAAAACATCCTACTGCAGCCCATTCCTTGCTTTACACTATTGAACTAGGTGTCCATCTGAAGAGTTTTGATCCCAATATGAGGAAATCAAATTTATCCTCCAGATATTATTGTTTTTTTGGACAATCAGATCCTTGGGCAGGGGTCAGGCCCCTGACCTGATGCTGTTGTTTTAAGTTGTTCTTAATAGCATTAAAAGAACTACTTCAGCCTCCTGATCTGGACTTATCTGGCAGCAGGGGATTTCCCTTGACTGTTGCTGTGCTACGTCTGAGCTCATATGGGTTAATGTGTTTGGCATTGCTTTAAAAGTTTTTGTTTTAGAGTTTGTACTTTTTTTTTTTCAGCACAGCAATTCCCATATAGAAAATGAATCTAATTGCCTACTTGTTTTACGTTCTGATCTTTGTCCCTTTATTTCAGTTAGATGCGTTTCATAAAATGGGCAGCATTATTCAGATCAAAGTAATATTTTGGGGCATTTGCTGGGCCTTGGCCGTTACAGTAGTTGCTGGCATTGAGCACGGTTGTCCGCCTGCCAGTTTCTGACTAATCTGAAGATTGAACACGAGGGCTGGATGATCTGGGGCCGGGGCCAACGCCACAGCGTTCTGTCTCAGCTGCAGCAAACTTCTCAAACCCTTGCATGTTGTGAGCCTCTTCCTGGTTATTTCTCAGTCGTCCAACAAGCAAATCCGCGTCCCAACGGTCGGACAGTGTGACCCTGACGCCGCAGTTGCACCGATTAGGCTGCAACCTTTCAATAATTTCAGCAGACTCTTTTTCCCTGTTGCATTGTGCAGGCACATTAGTCACTGCTGTCTTCTCTTCCTTGTGACCTTGGCTGATGTATTGCTTTCATTATCTGCTGATGTACTTGGGATGTTCATTATGCAGCATTTTTGTTTTTTTTTTATATTGTGTTTCTCCCTCTCTCTGTGTTTGGCTTTACTCCAGGTGTGAGAACAGAGCGTGTGGATGAGCTGCGTGTCTTCCTCCTGGTCTGTGGCCTCAGAAGAGTCAAGGACCCTCTCTATTTGGCAGAAGCCTTTTCAGGTCTTGTTATTTTTGCAATTTTAGTTCTGTATGAACCAGGAATGATAAAACTACCACACTCAGAGGAAAGCAAAAGGACCTACACCTGAACTTTTTTCTTTAACTCAAAGTCATAAATTTGAATCTTTTTTATGTGACAGACCAACATAAATGATTGAGGAAGGAAAAATATGAGTGTACTCTAGTTATTCAATATTTTCTTGAATCAAGTAATCAGTTACTGGAGGTCTTCAACAGGGGGTCCACGACCCTTGGGGGGCCCCAGAGGTACTGCATGGGGGTCGCAAAAGTTTTGGTTGATTAGACTTCTTATATTCCCCCCTGCAATGTTTTCCACTTATTGAAATGTCTTTAAATAAACATTAACATGAAATCAACACACTGTAGTAAACAGATAAATGGAGGCAGGAGATGTCTTTCAGTCATCAATGCACACATTCAGAGACACACAGGAGCTCTTTCAAGCAGGGCACCATTTCATTCACAACACCTGTCCCATCAACCATTAATCAGAATCAGAAATACTTTAATGATCCCAGGGCGAAATTACTTTAGTTACATTACTCTATATGTAATAGAGTGACTATAGGACCAGTTTGATAGAACACTATTTTCTACAATATATATAATTAGGGGGTCTCTGCTCCATCTCCATCAGTTTGAGGGTCCTTGGCATGGAAAACATTTAAGACCCCTGAGTTAGATGGAGGTTTATGCCTTTAAAAGATAAGGCTTGTTAAAGAGCAGCATTCAAAGTAGGTCTGTGGTTAGGATTGTTTTCCTGCTGGAAGGTGAATCTCTTTTGCAGCTTCTAACAGGTCTCCTTACAGTATTATCCTGTTTAAGTCCATCCATCTTTTCATCAGTTCAATGGAGCATTTATCTCGTTTCAAAAACAGCTTTCTCACTTACCTCTATGGTGTTGTTTTAATGTCCATTGATATTATTCTACAACCCATCTTCCTTGTGTGCTGTGCTATTTGCATAGGCTGACATCCACGTAAATGATCAACTGTAAACAGGATTCTCAAGGCCTTTCTTTTGCCATTTTCCCATAAAATGGAGTGTAGGGTTGTGGTGATGCAAAGATTTCTAATAATAATAATTGGACTTTATTGATCTCACATTGGAGAAATTTACCTCTGCATTTAACCCATCCCTTGGGGAGCAGTGGGCTGCTATCTTGGGGATAATGTGGGGTTAAGGGTCTTGCTCAGAGACCCAGAGTGGCAGTCTGTGGGAGTGGGGCTCGAACTCAGAACCTCAGGGTTCTGGGATCTATGCCCTAACCACTAGGACACCATTCATTATTAATACCTAGAAACATTTTTATACTTAAAAAAAAATTTTTATACTATACTAGACTCAGGATAAATCAGTGGCAAAAAGAAAAAAAATATAAAATGTTATTAAAGTAAAAAACACATTTTTGAAGCCTTTTGTGATTCTGCTGGGAAAGCAGAATCACCAAAGCTAGATAAAGGGTCATAACATGGTATTTAACTTATACAATCCTTTTTAAAGTTATCTTTACATTAATGTTTAATCATTTTTAGTGGAAAAAATAAATAGAGCTTATTTGGACCCCTATTAATCCACCTTTTTATCAGGTGAAACTAAAACTGTTCGACTTGAGCAGTTCTGAATAGAGCTTATTGACAGATTTTATTTTTTTATATCAAATGCAACATTTTTAATAATTTTTTTATATTTCCTGTATAATTACTGCTCTAAGTGGGTCGATCTCCGCTAAAGGCACGTTTTAGAGTCTCTAAATTCCAGTTAACGACAAATCGATTATTAAATTAGATATTATTTCAATAATTGATTAATCACGATTAATCTGATTAATTGTTTCAGCCCTAATCAATAAATAACCCAAATATTACACAACTTAATATTTTCAGTTTGTCTGGGGTATTGGGTATTATTCTTTTAATGTGCAAAAAAAATTGCAATCTAAAATAATAACAAAAATCTGCAAACAACACTTGTCTTTTAATATGAATACAAAATTATTACTCTATTCAGATATCAATACATTTTAGCATATCTATATTTTTGAAAACCATAGTGGAGTGCATGACTTATAGTGTAGAGATATTATTCCACCTGAGTTATGGGATGCTTACCACTCCTCCAGAGTTGGTTCTTTATATCTGCCTCTTGATTCTCTGTTCCTGCCTGCTAGTTTAGCTTAACAGTCATGTCTTATGAAGGTTTGTTTGTGGCGATGATGTCATGACCTCAATATGATTGTGCAGATAAACATTCTAGTTTTCTAATTTCCTGAATTTTATTGAGAGATATCAGAATAAAGGCAACAAAAAATGATCTGCATTCAAAAATTTTTATTCCACTTTCAAGAATAAACCAAGCTTTTGTTGGTCTAACACAGAAAATCCAAGTAAAAACCAGTTTTAGTTGGATTTTAGCAGTGGTCATGTGATAAAATGTTAAAGGGGCATAAAATCTAATTCAATCAATATATTAAGTAGGATCCACTGACATTAACTCGGGATGTCCCCTGTGGTGAAATTCAATTTAATTCAATCAAAAATACTTTATTAATTAAAAATGATGTTAAATCTCCAAAGCTGACTGAAATTAATTGCTTTTAAATACATTATCATAATATTATAGTTATATCAAACAGACAGTTTTTGTACTGTTTCTTCATATTTCACTTTAACTTGAATAAATTTAGAGCTGTTAAGAATTTTAAGTAGTATCTGTCATCCTTTTTTTTTTTCTATTATAGTTTCCAGCTATGGTAATGAGACAGCACTAGAGGGCGTCAAAATGTACATAAATGTTTAGATGAGCTGTGAGGATTTTCCTGTGCTGCTGGATTAAAATCTAGTGCACTCGTGCCTAAAAGCAAGAGCAGTGTGCTGCCGTAAGACGGTGCAACTGCAAGACGTCTATAAAAATACATGCATCAATATATATAGTCGAAATATGAAAAAATATTCACCTCCTCACTCTCCAAGCTGATTTTCATTGCTCCCTTTTCTTTGCATGTTTCAGAGTGGCATTCTGCAAACCTTCTCAATATATTGATCATAATCGGCCCAAAGGTAAGCAGGGATTTTTATACCTTTTATTTATATAGAGATTTTGACAATTCATGTTGAAATTATGATTAATTTTCTCTTTATTTTGTCTGTCATAAAAAGCACTGTGCTTCTGAATGTCCAGAGAAACCTGGCTTATGAAGTCAGGGAGCCTCTAATTGGATGTAGAAGAGATACAGGCTTTAGCTGTTTAGCTGGAATTAAAGAGCAGCTCTGGAGGGAAATGTCTTCACTGTCAGCAACAGTAATGGTGCTTTTTTTTCCCCCTCCTCTGCTTCCCCCCCCTCATCATTTGTGCCTCTGGCTGTTTTGCTATTTGCTAAATTGATCCACTGCTGACCCCAGATTAGCACTTGCTGTTGACTAATGAACTGTGCTAAGCTCTCCCATTTTCACACAAATAAACAGAGATTTATCTGGAAATGTGCAGGTTTAAATTACAGGCAGAGTCTGTGGCCCGGTCAGACAGCATCATTCCTCTGTCCCGTTTATCTCCCATGGACATATTAACCACACTTGTGCAGGCAGTGGAGAAAAAAAAAACACAGCTGGAAACTTACATCATCATCTGACTGGTTGATTTCTGGGGAAAAAAAAAGATTTCTTTTAAGCATTTTCAGTGCCCAGCTCCTCTATTCATACGCCCTGAAGGTTTTTATCGTTTAACACATTTACCACAGTAGAACATGTTCTGAGATTTAATGTTCAACATAGACCAACTGAAAGTAGAACAGAATTTTAAAGATTTTTAGAAATTATATTCTCAAACATACATTTTTGTGTATCCCAATTTAATGTAAAGACCAAAAGAAGTGTAACTTACGGAACAGGATTAGGGCCACTGGGGGAAAAAAAAAAAAAAAAGTGATTTT